TGACTCTCTGTGCAGATTTTTTCAGCCATGACTGCCTGTAATTCCATTTCTCTGGCTTTTTACATTCATTGACTATCTTAACATAGGGGTTACAAAATTAGTTTTGCTTCTGGGCAGGGAAGGTGTAAAGTAAGTGAGGGATATAAGCAGGGCGTGAAGACCTTAGCTGCAAGTGCTATGCCACATGGACTTGGTGCTTAGCTTCGGTGTTGAGGAGTAACAGGAAGTGGTGGGGACTGTGGCAAATTGGGGAACACGGGCCGTGGCTAAGTGCAGCCACTGTGCACCTCTAGTTGATTTCTGTTGTTGTTTTTGAGGTCTTTATTGAGGTATTCATATGCTACACAATTCACCCACTTAAAGTGTACAATTCAGTATTTTTTAGTATATTCACAGGTATGTACAGCCATCACCACAGTCAATTATTTCACCTCAAAAACAAACCGATACACTTTAGCTCTCACCTCTATTCTTACACACATACAACACATGCACACATGCGTGCATGCACACACACTCCCTGCCCACAGCCTTAAGCAACCACTAATTCACTTTCTCTCTCTATAGATGTGGCTGTTCTGGATATGTTACATAAATAGAATCATACAGTATGTGGTGTCTCGTGACTAGCTTCTTTTACTTGGTGCGTTTTCAAGGTTGATCCACATTGTACTTGCTTTTATGGCCTAATATTAGCCAATAATATGAATATGCCACATTTTATTTATTCTTTCATCTGTTGATGGACATTTGGGTTATTTTTCCCTTTTGACTTTTATGAATGATGCTGCTATGAACATTTGTGCACAAGTTTTTCTGTGGACATATATTCTCATGTCTGTAGAATTTATACCCAGGAATGGAATTGCTGGGTTCATATGATAACGCTGTATTTAATTTTTTGAGGAACTGCTGGACTATTCCCCAAGTGGCTGCACTATTTCACATTCCTGACAGCAGTGCACGAGGGTTCCAGTTTCTCCATGTCCTCATCAGTGCTGCTTGTTATTATTGGACATCTTAGTTCTAGCCATCCTAGTGGGCGTATGCAGCATCTCATTATGGTTTGGTTTGCATTTCCCATGGCCAATGACACAGAGCATCTGTTCATGTGCTTATTGGCCACTCATATGTTTTCTTTAGACAAATATCTATTCAGATCCTTTGCCCAGTTTTTGTTGTAGATGTTCTTTATATATTCTAGATACAAGTCCTTTCTAAAAGCTTTCAGTTAATTCAGTTTTGGGGGTTG